CGTTCCGTTTCAGTGCCATGCGCGGTTTGCATCGCGCCACCTTTGCTTTTCCGGCTGTCTCGAAGGTCTTGGCCCGCTATGTGCGGCAGGTGGCGCCCGGTTTCTGCTTCACCACGCTGCTCATTGTCGACTCGCTCCGCGCGTCCCCTCACCGTGATTCGCAGAATGAGCCGTCCTGGCTTTGTCCAGCTTCCGTGGTGGTGAGGTCTGGATAGAAGATCCAGATGGACATCACATGGTGCTGCATGAAGGCATCGAAGTTCCCGGGCGTTTGCTCCCTGTTGCCGAAGGGCCGGTTCGCTTCCGTGCTCAATCTCAGTTGCATTGCACCATGCCTTGGGACGGCTCCCGTCGTGTGATCCTCATTGCCTTCTCCATTCGAGATGCAGATTTGCTTCCCGGTCCTGCGTTTGGCTTCTTGTGTGACCTTGGTTTCTTGTTGCCTTCGAAGTCAGCTCCTGCTGCTCCTTCCCCGGCCTCGCCCCAGGCGGCTGCGCAGGTTCCCTTCCACCGAGCTTTGCGACGTGCCCGCGAGGTACTGTTCCTGGAAGTCTTCGCCGGCCGTGCCCGCCTCAGCGCCGCTTTTGTTGCAGCTGGATTCAGTGCTCTGAGTTTGGATCATGTTCGCTGTTCTGGGGCTGTCCATAAAATCACTTTGCTGGATCTGCGTGAGCCCGCTTGCCAACAGGTCGTCCTTGATCTGCTGGCTTCCGGGGTTGTGCGTTACTGCCACTTGGCGCCGCCGTGCGGGACGGCTCTGCCGCCCGCTCGGTGCCCCGTGCTGGGGGTGCTGCCCCCCCTATGGTCACTTCTCCATCCTTTGGGCCTGCCTCAGCTGCGTGGCCATGACGCCTCCCGTGTTGAGAGCGCAAATATCCTTTACCGTTTTTGCGCGCGTGTCATTCATGCCTGCGCGTCACACGGCGTGCTGTGGAGCCTGGAGAACCCTGCCTCCAGCCTGTTTTGGCTTGTCCCTGAGATAGCTGCCCTCACCGACCTTCCTGGTTTTCGGGCCTTCTGCTTCCACACTTGTGCGTTTGTGCCTGCTGGAAAAGGTCGCCGCAAGTGCACGGCTCTTTGGTGCAACTTCGAAGCTTTGCTCCAACTTCAGCGTTTTTGCGATGGCACGCATTCTCATTTGCCATGGGTCTTGTGCGTCTGCCTTCTGGGCAGGAAGTGTGGTCCACGTCATTGGAGGCCCACTACTCGGCTCCTTTGTGCCAGGCCTGGGTGGCTGCCTTCCGTTCTTTTGCCGTTGGCAATCTCTGCTTGGAACCTCCAGATCAGTTCAGCAGTGTGGCTGCGCATGATGACGCCCTGCGTCCCCTCGTCAACAAGTGCATTCTTGGAGGACTTCCGCGAGGCCGTGCTGTGCCCCCCTTGCTGACTGAGTTTCTTCTGCCTGCGCATGTTCACCACTCTGAGGGTTCGGCTTTGTGGGCTTTGTTGCCTAACAGTCGGCTGCCTGAGCCCTGGCCCAAAGGTTCCCGCTTGCTTAGGTTCGAGGTTTCGGTTCTTAGTGGGGGTTCTTCTGTGCCTCTGAACCTTGCAGGTAGCAACTCTGTGGCGCATGTTGATTTGCCATCCCTGTTGCTTTCTTTGCCTAAACCTTCTGAAGATGTGAAGGTCGATGCTTCTGACATTGCAGTCGTTGGCATTCCCCGTGTGCCATCAGATTTTGTCAAGTGTGCACTTGCTCTCTGCCACCCCGTCGATGCGAAGATAGTCCTTGACATTGCTCTTGAGGAAGCAGTTTCCTTACCTCGTTTTGATATCTTTTGATATCTTTTTTAACTTTTTAATATCTTCTACAAGTCGCTTGCAACGCTGGTACAACATTTGTAAGTCTAACTCGGTTATAACTGACTTGCAAGTCAGTTATACATGGCTTGTACGCGACTCGTACCAGACTTGCACTAGGGTTGTAACCACGGTATAACCTACGTATAATTCGATTCAGCCCTGGGGTGCGGCGTGGCTCTCCCGTGGTGGGGCCCCGGCCCTGCGTCTTGGCCTTGCCCCTTGTCCGGCCTCTTGCCTTCGGCCACGCCTCTCGCTTCTTGGTTGGGGGGAAGTGTGCCTCCCCGCACTGCTGCTTGGCCTTGCGCACCTTGGCTCCGTTGCCCCTTGGTGGGGGAGGCATGGACTGTCGCTAAGTTCGAGCTTGGGGCTTGGGGTTTAGGTTTGGTTACCTTCCTTGGCTTTGCCGCTGGGCTTTGTGCCGCATTTTTGGGTGGGGGGAGGTGCACTTGGCTCGGGGCGTGCCTCCTCCCCGTGCCGATGCCTGGATCCGAGTGGCACGGGCCACAAGCGGCTGCAGGCCCTGAAGGTGCTGACTAAGTACGCCGCCACTGGCGGAGAAGATGCAATCTGCTGTGTGTGTGTGTGTGTGTGTGTGTGTGTGTGTGTCTCCTTTTTTTTTGGGGAGTTTGGGGGGGAGTGAGAAGAAACAAAGTCCTTCCCATGTAGCAAGTTGACGGTACAACCTGCCATCAGCGTGATGTCCCATCAGAACGGAGGTTTTGCCGCGGAAGATTTCTTTAAAGTAGTGATGGTCCGGCCCGGCCTGTAAGGATCACAGAACAGTCGTATTTAACGACTGAGCCACAGTGACTCTGTGGTACGACTGCATTGTCATGTCGTGCGTCATGCAATCAAGCACGTACGCAGATACTTGGAGACCAGTCCCAAGAAACATTGGTAGCTACTGCTACTGTGAACTGCTATAAACTTACCTTGCAAGTGTTGGGCGGAGATCCAACAGCTCGCTCTCATACGGTCGAGCAGTTCACTGCATTCTGAGGCCTGTAACGCCTTAGGAGTCTCCGATGGAGTCACAACGTGGGGTGATATGTTGTGGCTATATGCGCTGCAGCTTTGTCTGCGTCAGACCATCCCCCCGGGCTGTGAGGTTCCAAAATGACTGCGGGCTTTGCTGCCTAGGAATGAGGTGAGCGCTCGGAGTTGCGCTTGGGTGGAAGAGGGCAACTAGAATCTCCAAGTCCTGCCGCCCATGTGAGGAGCTCGCCTCCCATTAGCTTGCTGACTGCGAGGTTGGCATAAAGTAGCCCGTGACTAGGCGAGCAAAGATTGAGGGAAGGCTCAAGCTGGCAATAGAACTGGCAGTGTTCGGCATTGCAAGCAGATGGGAGAGAGTGGACTTGCTTGGATGCTGCGTTTGGGAGGACCCTACGTAGAGGAGCGGGGAAGTGGACGGGCAGTGTCGCGTCTGCTTCCCGTGGCTCCATCGATACGGGCATTAAATCCATGCGCTCGGAGTTGCGCTTGGGTGGTAGAGGGCACCTAGAATTTCCAAGTCCTGCCGCACATGTGAGGAACTCGCCTCCCTTTAGCATGAAGACTGCAAGCTTGGCATAAACTGGGTGGATCCTAAGTAATCTTCAATCCTTAGGGGGTTTGCGGATTAGGCGGTTTGCGGATTAGAACATTACGGATTACAACGGTTTGCGATTAGACGCTTCATTAGTCGGCTACTACCAGTTAGCAGTGTTTGCGTTCTGTGCTTGGTTGCTTCTGTGAAACGACGGAAAACAATGAAATTAAGAAAATTAGCGACGCAACGACGGAAAAAATAACGGGAAATAAGCCTGACAACCCCGAACCCTAAACCCTCCACTGCTCACCGGCGTGCACTTCGTCGTCTTCATCGTCTCCCTCGGCGACGAGGCACCTTTGGGTGGGAGGGGTTAACCCTAAACTCTTACCCCCCAAACTCCAAACCGCGGTTGACTTGTAAAGGGTTAACCCACTAGGAGGGGCACTTTAAAAGGAAACTTTGATCCAGTGGCATAGCGGTTGGGCTCTGACCCATCAGCCCTGAGCTCGAATCCCCAAAGCAGCTGTAAAAGGCACCTTTTTTCGGCTTCGACCTGGAGACCCTCCCCTTGACCCTCCCAATCAAGATTCCAAAAAGCTGCTTTGGGGATTCGAGCTCAGGGCTGATGGGTCAGAGCCCAACCGCTATGTTGCGTGTGATCTTTTCTTTTTTTTATACACGCATGTTTTGCTACTGCTTGTCTTGGCGTTGCAAATGTTGAGATCACCGCAGGGTTCAGGCTCACGCACTGCAGTGGGCGCCGAGCGCCCCGGAAATCTTCGCAGCAAGATTTTTGAAAACAGCAGGTTTTTTGACAAACTTCAGCAAGCAACACTTGACCGTCAATTTGCCAGCAATCTTTGACATTAGCCTCCAAGAAACTTATCCTCTCGAGCCGAAGCGATGGCCCCAGATTGCAACACATTCTAGCCCGCAAGACAAGCTAGAACTGCATAAGACCTGGCGAGGTCCCGCATGGACCCCAGCAAAGCATCGCTGGAACAGGAGGCCATTGCACTCCCAGCATCACGCACTGCTGAAGCAGCAATTCTAGATCCGCCAGGCATCAGACGAGCTCGCCACCGCAAGTGCGACCATCTGGCATACCGCATTCCCATTAGGGAATCCGCAAGTGCATTCTGGCCTCTGGCCTCTGGCCTCGCTTGAGCCAGGTACGGTCACCGCAGTGACACGCAGTGCCCACGCATTGTTTTTTTTCTGCACTTGCAGCATCTTGTAGCAACAGTCGCATGCTGTTCTGTGTCTGTGCATAGCCGCAGAACCGCAACTTTAGCCTCGCATGGGCCAGGTACCGCTGTGGAGCCGCAGGACGAAACTTTTTGCGCAGCACTCAGCATCGGCAAGACTTTGCTCGCCTTTTCAACAGTGTGATCAGTCTCTGCGCCTTTTGCACTACTGCCACTCGCAATGTGCCCCTGCAGTGCTCAAGTCAGCACAGCCCCTAGAGGCACAAGTGTCGCAGACCGCAGGTTCTGCATGTACTCACATCCACAGAATACACTGCAGTCATGGCATGCTGCAAGCACCGCCTCAGGAGCGTACACCGCACATTGTGCATAGTGCATTTTGACGCTTTTCACAGCTTCACAGCTTCTAACTGCATAACTGCACCCAGCAATTACTGCATTCAGCCGCCGGGCCCATGTCAAACATGCAGTCCGCCTGGCAAGTTATATTGCAGGCTAGCGACGATGAACTGCGTGAAAGCATTTTGCACTTGCCAACCCGGCAACAGCACCGCATTGCATTCCTCACACTGCAATGCACAACCGCAGGCATGTACCATGCAGAGTACTGCGACGCAAGTTGGCGCGACACAGTACTGCATCAGTGGGAAGATCTCCCAGCTTCCGCATATGCAGCTACCGCACCCGCGCCCGCAGAGAGCATGCAAGCACCGCCCTACCCGGACAACGGCACCAGCGCAGATGATGACATGCCACCACCGCCCTGGCCCGAGAGCACTACCGCAACGCAATCCGCGGGCCCAGAACCACAGCAGACCGCATCCTCCTCCTCCTCGGCAGACGGGGTGCAACAGCTGTCACAACTGCTCACCAATCTGCTCCAGCAACAGCAGCAGCAGCAGCAGCAGTCGCAGCCACGACCGCAGCAGCAACCGAGACAAGCCTGGGCAGACATCCAAGACACAGCACCGCAACCAAAGCAGCAGCCCACAGCAAAAGAGCCGCCTGGCAAGAAGCCGCCCCCCAAACTGCCAGACCACATCCACGGGCCCAATCCACAGCAAACACCGCAACAGCCCGCAGCACAGCAGCCCACACAAGGGCCACCGCGCAGCATCTTTCCGCAGCCGCCGAGCCAGCAAGACCCACAGCCCACACAGCAGCCACAGCCATCAGCACCGCAAACGGATTCCATGCAAAACGGCTTCGACGTCAACTTCGGAGTCGGACCGCCAATCCCACTGCACGACTGCCACAAGCGCCCACCGCTAGGCTATTTTCCGCAAGGGTGCGAACCTGCACAGGCAAACCTTTGCAACCGCAAAATCTTTTTTACTGCCCAGGGCAAACCCTGGTACCGCAACCCCAAAAAGGGGACACCGCATTGCGCTATTCGCTGCAACGACCCCGACTGCAGTTACGGCGGAGCCGCGCCCTGCAATTACCCACTGCCCGTCCCCTTTAGCAACGACACGCACACGCATCATACCTGCAGCCAATGCAAAGCGCAACGCAATGCAGACCGCGGTCTCATTAGCATACAGCCCTTGAATTAACTGCACGCCGCAATGCACGCCGCACGCTGCACACGCACACTGCACGCGCACACTGCTCAATCCTGCATTCTTCTTTTTTGGAGCAGCATGGGTCCCCCCCCGCACTAGGCCATGAGCCTCGCATTTAGAAAAGATGCACGCAAAAGGGGGGGGTCCCAAGCAGCGATCTAGCAGGCCTAGCACAGCGCAAGGCCGCAGTCGCAAAAAAGTTGGGCTCTGCAAACTGCACGCATTGCCAGCAGAGTTTCATTAGGTTGCACCGCAAGTGCTTGCGCCGCCCCTCCCTTAACCCATAGCCCTACCTCGCCCAATGCCCAGGTCGACCGCACTTCCTCCTCAACGACGACATCGACGCGTGTTCCAGCTCAGTAGCCTTCAGCAAAAGCCACGGCAAGCTGCGTGCACCGACCTTGTTGCATGATGCACCAGAGAACCCGCACACTTTGCCTGCAACCATTGACTACAGCGAAGATGCCTTTTCTGACCCGCAGGTGCTTGAGCAAGCAAATGACGAAGCCTCCGAGCTTCCCGGCATTTGCAGCACCGCGCTTAATGCAATCATCGGCCTGGGAGACCCAGTCTCAAGCCACACCATTGCAGCGCCTCCACTGCCTCTCAGCAGTGTCCTTTTTGCACCTGCCCTGCGTTCAGCAAACCGCAATGCCGCATCAAGAACTCCGCCTCCCAAGGCATCAGCAACGTTCCCTAGATCCCGAGCCTCCACCCCTAGGCATAGGGTTATAGACCTCACACCCTGCAAAGCCTGGTGGCCCCTGCAAGCAGCCAGAGCCAGACCTCCTGCTCGCATGCTGCAAGCACCGCCGCCTGATCCCAAAATCCAACCGCACCATGACCCCATTCAGTGGTCGCAGCAAATCACTGCTAACCCTAAGCCCAGACCCAAGCCCAAAGCCGCACCCAGAAGCTTGCAAAGGCAACCTCCGCCTCTGCGCATAAGTGGACCGGGCAGCTCCAGCAACAGAGTGCCCACAACACTGCAGGCTGCAACTCCAAGAGCGGCCCTTGCGCCAGCAGCTACTAAGCCTGCTCCTGCCGCAAGAACGCCATATCTGCACAGCACCGCGCCGTGCTTGACATCCAGGCCCGAGATCTTTACCACCAGAGCACAAAATGCAACCCGGAAGCACCGGGCAATTTCACGCTTTATGCGCATTTTGCTCGTTATAGGGTGCGCCAGCACCCTGTTTGCGCAATTGCACGAGCGCCCTACATTCCAGGCGCATGTGTCACAGGCCCTCGTAAAAAACACTGCAAGCACACTAGACCGCTACCTGCGATGCGTTGAGCAGTTTTTGGACTACCTCAGCATGTGGCAGTGCAACATTGCCGACTGCACATGGCTTTGCGTGGCAGATTACCTGCATTCAGCCCAGCAGAGTAAAATCTGCGACCGCGCTTGCCACCGCACGCCGCCGGTCATGTGCGTGAAAGCCCTCCGCTGGTTTGCAAAACATGCGCAAATAGAAGGCCTTTCCACAGCAATGTACATGCCCCTGATCTCAGCATACACGCTGCGAGATCAACCGCACGACCGCCGAGAAGCGATGCCACTGCCCATGGCCTGTGTAATAGCATTCGAACAATGCGTTTGCGATGCACTTGCACCCATTGCCCTGCGCCTTTGGCTCGGCGCTGCACTTGTCTGCATCCATGCCAGCATCCGCTGGGGCGACGCACAACGCATTGAGTGGTCCAGCTTGGACCTCACCGCAACCGCACTGCGCGGCGTTTGTTATCAGACAAAAACCGCAAAGCACGGGCAACCCTGGGCAGTGCATTGGCTTGGCTTCTCAGGCACAACCGCAAAGACCTCGTGGGTGGTCGCATGGCTCTCCCTACTGCATTTTTACCTCGCAAAGCACCCACACAACAACCCTGACTTTCTTTTTATGCACTGCAATATCACCGGCAATCCGCCGGAGCATGCGCTGCCCAGCAGCTACCATCACAGCCTTCGCGTGCTGCGCTGGGCATGCACCGCACCATGGCTAGCCCAAGCCAACCAACTGCTACAGCACATGGAAGCCCTTGCCCTAACCCTGCATAGCCTTAAGTCCTGCCTCCTTGCTGCCGCAGCGCAAAGAGAGCTTCCCAAAGAAAAACGCCTTCAGCAAGGACACCACCGCGACAGCGCAGCCCTATACTCGCGCGACGACACCATCGCAAGCCTCGGCATACAGCGAGACCTGCGCCATGCCCTGCACGCAGGATGGCGCCCACAGCGCTCCATGTCCCGCGGAGGGCAGGCCCCCGTGCCAGAACCGCCCTTCGCGCTCAATGCGGACCCGCAACAGCCGCACCTGACCGCGCAAGAACTTCGTGACCCAGCACTGGCACGCTTCGTCTCACGACATGAATTGCTGCAAAGCAACGCAGACGAGCAAGACGACGCAGCCCCTCAGCAACTGCATATGCCCCTGCACACGGCCCGGCCGACCCTGGACCTAGAAGCACTAGAGGTTGAAGAAGCCGCAATGCACCTGCTGCATGAATCCTCAACCGAGGAAGACCTTGCGTCCACAGTAGCGTCAGTTCCATCCACGCAAGAATCCGAAGACGAAGCGCTGCCAGAGCCGACTGCCCTCAGCACAGGAATCCGCAACGGAGCCTGGGCCGCAACACACTGCGTTACAGCCACAAGCTGGGAACAATACCTGCATGAAAATCGCAACATGCGATGCCTGCGCACTGCCTGCGGCGCCCCCATCCGGTCGAGCGCCTTCCTTATCCAAATCGCAAATGCCACAAGCCTCTGTGGACGTGCCGCGTGCAAGAGGGCCCGAACTGCTTCCGACTAGCCAGAAGCCCAGAGTTTGCTGCGCCTTTTTTGTTGCCTGCCGCCTCCAGCTCACACCCGCAGCCATTTCGGCCCTCCTTTTAAACAACAAACACGTGCAGCAACTACAGTAGTGCTTACACAACCTGACATAGCGCTTCGCAACCTGTAGTCTAGCCCAGCCTAATTACGCCTCGCAATGGACATCGACTCTGTGCAAAGTTTCGAGCAGCTATGCACAGATATGGGCATTCCACAACGCCTGCTCGAAGCACTGCGAGCCTCAGGCTACCGCACCATTGCAGATCTAGCATTCAGCCTGCCAGAGCAGCATTACCTCGATGCATGGCTAACTGCACAGCCCCAGGAACTCTGGGACGAACTGCAAGTTCAGGATACCGCCTGGAGCCCCGTGATCGGGAGACTCCGCCGCACATTGGCACGATGCCAAACCATCACCTCAGGCACCGGCCCGGCCATCAGTAGCCAAGACTCTGCACCTGCAACCAGCGCCACTCGCAATGCGCACATTGCCGAGAACGTCTGGGCCGAGCATGCACCACCGCGCCTGACAAACAGCGCAGTGCAGACGATGAAGGACACATTCGCCGCAAACTATCCAGGCGAAATACTGGACGGCAATTCCATGCCAAGCATTAGACTGCTAAGCATAGTCTACCAGTGGTTCCGCCCCGGCAACAACCCTCAATGGGTTCCTTGGCAACTGCGCATGTCAGAAAAGCAGTACCAGGAGATACTGGTCGCCCGCACCGGCAAAACCCTCCGCACCGAAGCACAGCTCATCAGCGCAGCGCTCATAGATGACACGCCCGAGCTGAGCATAGACCCCAACCGCCTGACGCACGGCTGGCTTATCAAAATCCAGCAAGTGTTCCGCAACGCAATCGCACTCTGCGGAGGCGCGCATCTTGCCGCACTAAAAGAACTAGACGCCAAAGTCCTTGACTACGCAACTGCAAACATCCCAGCAGACCTGGGACTGCGCACTGTCAACATGACAGAATTACTGCAAGCAGACCGCAAAATTTGGAGCGAACTATCCGCAATGTGCGCACGCGGCTGGTCACTGGACGATTCACTGCATGAGCTTACCCACATTCGCAGCGACCTGCACACGCTGCTGCAACCTCGACCTAGGCCGCCTAAGACCCCTAAAGGCAAAGGCAAGGGCAAGGAGGACAAAGGCAAGGGCAAAGGCAAAACCAGCAAGGGTGTCCGCAACGATGCCCTCAAGCAGCCTTACGCAGGCCACAGCACGCAGGACTTGGCAACCACTAAAGGAGACAAGAAGATATGCCTGCGCTTCAATAAAGGCACCTGCAACAACCCCAACTGCAAATTCCTGCACATCTGCGGGGTAAAGCAGAGCAACGGGGAGCCGTGCGGCAAGAAGCATGCAGCCTGGCAACACCGCGACGCGCCGCCTCCGCCCTCCACCTGACGCAGTCCGGAGCCTACCGCCGGGGAGGTACCTCCGGACATAACCTCTGCCCCGGTTGCACAACCCACCGCCGCATATCCCAATTGCACAGCCTCACTGACCCCCGGTAACCGGGATAATAACCCTTGCAATAGACCCCCCAGGGGCCCCTCCGCCCCGCGCTCGCCAAGCAGCGACTCCTACTACTCAACCACCAGCACCTCAGGCTCAGAGGCATCCGCGCGAGATCCTGATGCGGCTACACCCAGCATCACTGCAACCATGCCACGCCTATTCCTAGACCTTTTTGCGGGCACGACCAGCCCGCTTACAGCAGCAGCCAAAGAGCTCAACCTGGACAGCATCGAGCCTATTGACGCACTCGCTAATCCTAAACACAACGTGCTCGATGATTGCTTTTATGCAATCCTGCAAAGGCTATGCTGGTCAGGCCTAGTCTCCTTCATTTGGTCTGCGCCGCCCTGCGAGCAGCAGCAACGCGTCGACTCCAGCGCAGAGATCCATGCGCGCAGCCGCGCACTCATCCGCGCCGCCACCGCTAAAGGAGCGGATGGCGGTTTTGAGCAACCAGTCGACGCCATGTCCTGGCTTGAGCACGACAACGTCCAACTGCTGTGCGAACTCAACGCCACATGCGCGCACGTTGCAGCCTGCGCACACGGCTTGAACATCCACAAAGCATGGGTGTTTTGCTGCACTCTCAGGGAAACCGCATCCCTTGCCTCAGTCTGCAAACATCAC